GTTAAAGAAACAAAATGCTTACTTGGGCTGAGTTCAAAATTGGTACTCTTAGGTAAAATTAAAATTTAGGAAGCTTAGTCACAAAATAAAAGACTTAGGCACATTTTGAATACTTAGGGAAATAAATTAGACCCTTAGCAAAATAAAACACTTAAGCATAAAGTCCAAATTAAACAATTAAGAACAACAAATTGAGCAATTAGTACACTTAGGCAAATTTTATATCATTTAAACACTTAGAACAATTTAATAAAACGAAAGCACACTAAAAAAAATTTAAGAAGACGAGGACATCTTCTTAAATCTAAATTTTTGATTAGGTGAATTAATTAGAAAAATTAAACAGACGAGGACATCTATTTAATTTTTAATAAGCTTAACAGGGAAAAATTGTCGAGCACTACGACTAAAATAAAAGCGAGGCGAATAATAATAATAATAAAGATAATAAATAATAAATTCAATTAATCCTTATAAATATTATTCGATAAAGAGAATATTCCGAGAATTTCTATAAATCGAACGGGGCGTTACAACAGGTGTGAGTTTGTGAGTGGTCATTATGGAGGTACGGATATAAGCACGTGAATGTAACCTCGTCTTCCTTGATTTTGAATGAATAGAGCTCTAAGCTCAGATTGAAAATGGTGATTCCTGTTTTTATCTTCTTTTTTGATTCATACAAATTTGTTCTGTTTTAGCTCATCGCTACATAATATCTAGAGCAGGATAAAGAATGGCGCACGTTAACAACGAGCAAGGTCGCGAGATTGTTGGATGAGGTGTTTACACTCGAGACATAGATCCGCTTTTCCTTCATGGATCTGACAATCCTGGTATGGTTCTGATCTCTAATCAGCTCACTGGATCAAATTATCTGCACTGGAGTCGCGCGATAAAGCTAGCTCTCAGTGCGAAATCGAAACTTGGATTCATCAATGGCTCGGTGGAAATTCCAGAACAAGGTTCAGAGGAATACAACCAATATCAAAAGGTAGACTCTATGGTTATCTCTTGGTTATTAAACTCCATATCAAGGACATTGTAGAGGCTTTTACTTATGTTAAGAATGCTCAACAACTTTGGGATGAATGAGCTGAACGGTATGGTGAAAGTAATGGACCCTTGAGGTATCAATTGCTGAAGGAGATTGCTAATTTTTTTTTGGGGAAAATCTTACAGTTACTGCTTATTATATGAAATTAAAATGCCTCTGGGATGAATATTCTTGTCTAGTCTCTATACCTGATTGTGTGTGTGTGGATCTGGGAAGAAGTTTCTTGAGTTTGATATAGAGATAAAACTGATGCAGTGGCAGGTTTGTATGTGATTAATGCACAAGGTATATATGCTAATGCCGTTGATAATGCTCAAGGTGAAGAAATGATTCTGTGGCGACATAGCTCTAATAGAGCTTGAGGCATCTACATTTTTTGAAAAATAGTCATGCAAATCAAGAGTTAAATCCTTGTGACATTTGTCACAAATCCAAACAAAGCAGATTGCCTTTTCCCATTTTCCAAATGCAAAGCAAGCACAAGTTTGAGTTGATCCATGTGGATGTATGGGGCCCACACCTTGAAGATTCAGTGTTGAATGTCTCTTACACGCTCACTATTGTTGATGACTTTACAAGGGCCACATGGATCTATTAGATGAAGTATAAGAGTGAGACTTACATCCACATAAAATCTTTTCTCAAAATGGTGGAGGTACAATTTGGAGTTAAAGTGAAGCAAATGAGAATTGATAATAGAAGTGAGTTTGTTAACAAGGATATGTACACATTGTTGAAGGAAAATGGAATACTACATCAGAAAACATGTCCTTACACTCCACAACAAAATGGAGTTGTAGAGAGGAAACACAGATCCATCCTTGAAGTAGCTAGATCAATATCGTTTCAGTCTAATTTGCAAAAGGACCTTTGGCCATACAGCTTGCTTGCTGTGTGCAGATTATCAATACCTTACCTAGTGGAAAATTAGGATGGAAGAGCCCTTATGAATTGCTACATGGGAGCTTACCAGCATACAATATGTTTAGAACATTTGGTTGTCTGTGTTATCCATGTAAGCTTGGCATACACATGAAGAAATTTGATGAAAGGGCTATGGCATGTGCTTTTTTGGGATATGTTTCAGGAACTAAAGGGTACAGGGTTTATAACTTGGAGACAAAATAAATATTTATAAGCAGGGATGTGATTTTCTATGAGGACAAGTTCCCTTTCCATGCAAAAACTTTAAATGAGACTCATTCAGACATCTCTTTGCCTATCATAAATGATGATGAGGAGACAATAGAAGAGACACGAGAGTGACAATCCACAATGAGGGATTTCTCAGAAGAGGTAATAGAAATAGGAAATCTCCCTCACAGATGTTTGATTATGTGATTAACATGCTTGATGTTGAGGAAATGAGTCTATTTTTCTCTGAAGTAGACAAAATAGCCACAGATCCCTTGTTTTATGAACAAGCTATAAATGATAAAAGATGGATAGATGTTATGGGGAAGAATTAGAAGCATTAGAATCCAACAACACCTGGATTCTCACCAAGGTGCCACCTGGATAAAGGGCCATTGGATCTAAATGGGTTTACAAGATCAAAAGAAACCTAAATGGTTCAATTGACAAGTTTAAGGCAAGATTGGGGGCAAAGGGATTCTTGCAAAGAGTGGGGATAGATTTTCTGGATAGTTTCTCTCATGTAGCTAAGCTTGTGTCAGTGAGGTTACCTATTGCTCTTTCGACACAAAACAATTAGGAACTCCATCATATTGACATCAACAATGCATTTCTCCATGGCTTCTTGGATGAAGAAGTCTATATGTCACCTCCAAAGGGATATGTTAAGGCCAAAAAAGATGAAGTATGTTTATTGAAAAGAAGCCTCTATGGGCTGAAACAGGCAAGTAGGGAATGGAACATTGAGTTTTTGGATAAACTCTTAACCTATGGTTTCATACAGTCACAATATGACCATTGTATATTCTTCAAAGGATCAGGTGCTCACCTTCTTATCTTGCTCATTTATGTGTATGATGCCCTATTTACTGGGAGTTGTTTATCTGACATTCAACACCTTAAGGCATACCTATATACTCTCTTTACTATTAAAAATTTGGGACATGCTATATTTTTCTTGGGGTTGGAGATACATAAGACTACTGCTGGCACTTTCTTGAGTCAAAAGAAATATATCCTAGACATAGTCCATGATCTGGGAACAACTGATTGCAACCCTGTGGTCATACCATTACCTCAAGGAGTAAATCTCTCTTCTCTAGAATCACAACCATATGATCATCCTGAGTGCTACAGGAGGCTTGTGGGGAGGCTGCTTTATTTGAATTTGTCCAGGGCTGACCTTTCTATGCAATCCAGCAACTCAGTTTATTTAGGAACCTTCACTCGCTCATTGGAATGCTGCTCTTCACTTAGTCAAATATCTTAATGGCACACCTGATTTGGGACTTTATTATACAGCCACTCCTTCATTGACTTTGGAAGCATTCTCAGATGCAGATTGGAGAAGTTGTACAATTACCAGGAAGTCCCTCACCGGTTTTTGTATTTTCTTGGGACAGGCCCTCATCTCATGGAAGACAAAGAAGCAAAAGATATTCTCTCGTTCTTCGGCAGAAGCAGAATATAGATCTATGGCTCTCTTTTTTGGCTAAGGACCTGTCACTTCATGTTATCACTGGCATTCCTCTTTGGTATGATAATAATGCAGCCCTTCACATCACGGTTAACCCGGTGTTCCATGAACGTACTGAGAACTTTGACATTGATTGTCATGTGGTCCGCAACAAATATAAGGAGGGATTCATCTTGCCCAAATATCTCAGCTCTTCACTGCAGTCGGCTGACCTTTTTACCAAG